CGTTCAGCCATGGTAAGCACGTCATGGTAAGCAGCATTCCCACTGACAGAAAACACTTGAATAGGCTTTGAGCCTCAGCCTGTCTTCACAGCAGAGGTGCTCCATCCCTCTCATCATCTTCGTGGCCCTCTGCTGGACCCGTTCCAACAGGTCCATGTCCTTACATAACTTTACAACACCCTTGTGGCCTGCCCCTTTTTCCAAAGGCCATAAACTCTGTTTTTTCCCCCCGAGTTGTGACCATGTCTCAACTGACCACGTTCAGCCATGGTAAGCACGTCATGGTAAGCAGCATTCCCACTGACAGAAAACACTTGAATAGGCTTTGAGCTGCAAAGGGTAGAAGAAAGGCACCTGGGCACCTTGCAGAGGACAGCACTGCTGCTCCATCACAAGAGAAGCTCTTCCACCCCATCACAGATCAAACCTCTCACGCTGGGCTGTGCTTGCCAGAGGCAAAGCTGGCTCCCTCCGTCCTTTTTGGCCCTGCACTGTGTCACAGGACAATCTGCTGTCTTGGGGCGGGCACTCTGCAATGCCAAGGCACGTTGCTGCCTTATGTCCTGAGGGTTAAATGGTCCTTCAGATGATGGTAAAAATCAGAGAGAACCTTCTGTCTGACATCAGGACACCTGACCAACCAACTGGCAGCCCAACACTCATCTAAACAGTGTTGTATCATTATGGCTGTACAAGACAAAGAGCAGCGTCTCCTCGTTCCAGGAGGGGACCGTGGTCAAAACTACCATGGCCATGAACCCTCCTTCCCCAGAGATGCTGAAGGCACACGGCAAACTCCTGGAACTGGACGGCTTCCTGTTTTGTTAAACTGGAAAGTTTTGCTAGGCTGCAAAAAGAGAAGAGAATTAGTAGACAGACAGACACACAGATGCTCTTGTCCTTTGGAAGAAGACAATCTGTCTGACATCAGGACACCTGACCAACCAACTGGCAGCCCAACACTCATCTAAACAGTGTTGTATCATTATGGCTGTACAAGACAAAGAGCAGCGTCTCCTCGTTCCAGGAGGGGACCGTGGTCAAAACTACCATGGCCATGAACCCTCCTTCCCCAGAGATGCTGAAGGCACACGGAAAACTCCTGGAACTGAACGGCTTCCTGTTTTGTTAAACTGGAAAGTTTTTCCAGGCTGCAAAAAGAGAAGAGAATTAGTAGACAGACAGACACACAGATGCTCTTGTCCTTTGGAAGAAGACAGTATCTGACATCAGGGGCTTCACAGCAGAGACACCCAACTCAGTACTTGGCATGTACTGTGAAGGAAATGTTTGTTGAGATTAATAACCCTGCTTAACAAAGACAATGTTTGATGGTCTCTAAACCACTCCAAAGATTAAAGAACAAACCACTGAATGACCTTAAATCTTCTGATTTCTATCATCTAACTGCAGGCTTCTGCTTTTCTGCAGGCTTGCCCAGAAATCATGCTCCCAAAAAAGCAAAAAAGGGAGCAGGGACATTTTAAATTTAGGCCATATAAAATATAAAAACCCTCATGCATGAAGGGAAAACATGTTTTTTTTTTAAAAAAAAATATCAAAGACCTCCTGGCAATATCTCCCCAAACCAACGTTCAAAACTCCACTGTTCAGCTAAAAGCACGCACAGAGGCTTCTTGCCTGCGGTATCTGGCCCAGCTCTGGCAGCAGAACAGCAGGTTTGCTGCCACCACACTGCCCAGTCAACCCACCCTGACCTGTGCAGATCGACCACGGGGCCAGAAGATGACTGGGAGCCCAAAAAAACACAGTGAGAGGAACTCCTAAAGATTTTACCAGTGCCCAAGATCCAGCACCCTCCTGGGTTTTAATCACTCATGCCCGTAGAAATTTCCCCACGCACAAGCTACACATGAATCAAGACGCTGAAACAAAATTAAAAAAAAATAACTAATTTTCAAATATCCAGGAGGAGATGACATACACCGAATTATTTAAGAGGGGGCTGGAGGAGCAGCAGCTGGCATAAACCTGCTGGGTGGATGGATGTCAGCGATCATTCTCGCCACCTGAGATCTGCTCCAGGAGGACAGGCTGCGGAGATGTTCCTCCTCAAAAGGCATGGCAGCACGCTCTAGTTTCTGCCTCAAAACACTTCTGGTTTTCCTTCATCTTCTTTCAGAGAGCGCCCAAGCAGGGACACACTTGAGCAAGGAAGAGACCAGCTCCTACCTCCTCCCCAGTCAACGTGAGGGTTTGCACTCCCTGGTCTCAAGCTGCCTTCTGCCAGACCTGGGATGGGCTGGCTGCTCTCAATAAACACAAAAAGACCCCAAAACGCTTGTGTTTGATCCAATCTCATACGGGGCTTGTCAGCATTCAGCAGCTAAATCAGCCTCCTTGGGATCCTGTCTCACGTATCCAAGGATGCTGAGCAGGAGCACACGAGCTCACCCAGCTCGGCAGGCAGGCAGGCATGCAGACCCCAGCTGCCCCTGATGCTGAGCAGGAGCACACGAGCTCACCCAGCTCTGCAGGCAGGCATGCAGACCCCAGCTGCCCCTCTAAAAAAACCAACCTCTAAATGTGCAGATGACCAAAAAAAAAGCAGCGAAGGAATAAGTAGAGTATGTTGAACAGCAGCCTTCCAAAGTTGAACTTTATCTCTGCAACATCACTTCGGCATTCCATGAAAGGGACGAAAGCCACTTAAAATAATTTGATTTTGTAGACAGGCTTGCCCAGAGCTCCTTCTAAAGGTTTTAATTTTTTTTTTTTTACAGCAGCAGAAGAGACTCAAGGAGGTCTGCAATAACTATTTGCATCTAAAAAGCTGAGGCTTTCCTCCCTCCCTCCCACAGCAGAATTACTGTGACCTGCCTTAAGCAAGACAGAGCCAGGTACCATCCCCACTGCTTCCTCTAAAAAAACCAACCTCTAAATGTGCAGATGACCAAAAAAAAAGCAGCGAAGGAATAAGTAGAGTATGTTGAACAGCAGCCTTCCAAAGTTGAACTTTATCTCTGCAACATCACTTCGGCACTCCATGAAAGGGACGAAAGCCACTTAAAATAATTTGATTTTGTAGACAGGCTTGCCCAGAGCTCCTTCTAAAGGTTTTAATTTTTTTTTTTTTACAGCAGCAGAAGAGACTCAAGGAGGTCTGCAATAACTATTTGCATCTAAAAAGCTGAGGCTTTCCTCCCTCCCTCCCACAGCAGAATTACTGTGACCTGCCTTAAGCAAGACAGAGCCAGGTACCATCCCCACTGCTTCTGACACACTGGTGTGTGCAGGGGTTGGGAAGAAGCTGGCCCCATGAAATCAAACCAGATGGAGTGGCAGAAAAAAAAAAAAAAAAAAAGGAAAAAAAAAAAAAAAAGAGAGAGAATCTCGGAAGGGGATTTCCTAGTTTCTCCCAATGCGGAGCCAAAGTCACCCACTGAGCCAGGGATGCAGGAATGTCAAACCCCAGGAGACACAGCCCCAGCTTTGTGGGGGGGAACCCGTCCTCCCCCCCAGAGTCACTCTGTGCTCACTGCTCCCCAGCCAAGCTTGTGCATCACCCTGGCACAATCACCCTGGAAAGGACCACAAGCCCCAGATCAGCTCCTGGTGTGACACTTGTGCAACAAGGCCAGCCATTTCAAAATCACCCTTTTAAGGAATTGCTACCACCCCTCTGTTTTATAAGTTGTTTAAAGTGGCTAAAGTTAAATGATTCCTGTTTCAGGGGAAGAGCAAGGCCTGCACTGAGCCAAAAACTTCCACCCCATGGAAGAAGAAGCGTGCTTCAGAACCATCAGCACCACGGTGGGCCTTTTCTGCTCCAGAGCACCGGCACAGATGCCGTGTTTTGGGCAACATGTTCAGCAGAACTCCTCAGCAGGGCAAAAAAACAGCACGGAAAACCCAACCAGCACAGTCCAAAAAATTCACCTGACGCTGCAAAGCCAATAACTCCTCTCTAAGGCCATTAATTTTTCATTTCACCGCTCGCCAATCCTACAACCAGTGTTTGAAAGAGAATGGAAAAGAAAAAAAAAAAAAAAAAGGAAAAAAAAGAGGAAGGCATTCAATACATTCAATGATTTGGAATTGAAAAGAGAGATTGTGCCGTTCCTGAGGTCACATGCAGCACTCAAGCCACTGGTATTTCACCAGGAAAATCCAGGGCTGCCTAAATACCCTCCTGTGGGCTCCTATTAATGACAACAATTAACAGCCCGGCGGAATGCAGACATGCCTTTCACGCGGTCTGTTTTAAAAGGCTCCCAAATAAATCGTAACCACATTGCAGGTAATTATTATTTCAGCACACTGTGTGTTTCTCCGGCCCGTTATAACCGGGGAAGAAAAGTCACTGGCATCCCAAAACTTTCCCCCCGCGGCTGCGCCTGCCAAACCCTCGGCACGGGGTCCCGCAGAAACCCCCCCCCGGCCCAAAACCTCGATTTTCTACTCCAGTGGAACCCACAAACAAAATCAACTTCATCTCTTCGGTTCCAAAAAAAAAAAAAAGTCGGAGCTCCACTTTTGCCCAGACGGCACAGATGCTGTGTTTCGGGCAACACGTTCAGCATCGCACGGGCTGGTGCAGCAGAACTCCTCAGCAGGGCAAAAAACAGCAGGGAAAACCCAACCAGCACAGTCCAAAAAAATTCACCTGACGCTGCAAAGCCAATAGCACGATTCGCCCCGAAACCTTGCAAAGCAAGAAAAAAGGGGGGAAAAACCCCAATTCCGAGTTTCAAGCTTATCTAAAAGTAAAGTAGGAGAAGAGATGACTGTTGCAGGGCTATTCCATAAACACAACACTAGGATTTCACAAGGCAGATAAAGTTACAATAATAATTTTATCAGCTATTTCCCATTATGTACCATTATGCATTTTGTCTCTCTGCTCCACTTTTGCCCAGATTCGCCCCGAAACCTTGCAGTTTCTTGCAAAGCAAGAAAAAAAGGGGGTAAAAAACCCCACTTCCGAGGGGAGGGGTAGGGGGGGGAAGAAGGACGCTCCCGCCGGGGGTGCCCCTTACCGCTGAAGAAGCTCTTGGCTCGGAGGAAGCCGGCGCTGAGCCTCAGGACCGACAGCTTGTCCAGCCCGGCCACCACCTCCTCGGGGAAGGGCAGCAGCCCCGCCAGTCTCTCCAGCTCCCGGTTCAGCCGCTCCCGGTGCCGTTTGGAGGGGTTGGAGGTGCCGCCTTCCACCGGGCCCGGCCGCATCCTGCCGGGCAGAGCCGCGTTACCGGGTCCTGTCCCCCCTCCATCCATCCATCCCTCCATCCATCCCTCCATCCCTCCCCGGGACTCCTCTCCCTCCACTCACACCCGGGGCACCGGCTTCCTCCTCTTGCGACCCGCGTACATGGCCGGGCCGGGGGGCAACGCTCCGAGCATCCCCCCGGAGAGCCCCCCGAGCGG